TATAATTTTAAGTTGTTTGTCAAAGTTTAAATCAAATATACCTTCATTACTGAATACTTTTTTACATGTTTATTAATTTTTAATAGAAAGGAACAGTCTGATCGATCTACACTTTTCGTAAAGATGGAAAATATTGCTCAATCTATTTTATCAGCCCTTCGTTCTAGATCGTTTATGTCATGCCTTCAATTATCCTTTGGAATATGTATTTATCAAAAGACTAAATCACAGATAGTTATTAATTTATTAAACAAGTTAGGTGTGTGTTCCTCGTATCATAACATTCGGCTGCATCTACAATTAGAAATCCACAAATAACTATGATCGATGATGCTTAAGTCCAATACATATTTCGAAATACACGGAGAGAAGGATCGAGTAAAATTCGAGTAAATTTTGGGTAAAAAAAGGAAAAACTGACCAGTTCCAATGTATTATTTATACAGCTTGTGGAATGGTCCGAGAGCAGAATAAAATTTACTTTGCATCAGGCGAATTTTTAAGGAATGGAGGGATAAAAAAAAAGTTAATAGGATTTTTACTACTTCCATGCAGCGTACCACGATTACCCTGCATTAGAGTGTACTTTTTACTCGATCATTCTCTTAGTGTACAGATCATAATGCTCACGATAATTGATGTATATAAGAAAACATAAAATTATTATCAAGTCGATTATGTAACAGTTTATTAATCAATAATAAAAAAAAATTATAACAAGAGAGAGAGAGAGAAAAGGAATAAATTAGCATGAAGAATCATCCGAGCAAACAAAAATTCTTTGAAATTAAAAAGATCTCTTTGATGAGCAGGGTGACATACTGGCAGTCAGCCAGTTACGAGATGTAACATTAAATAATAAATATTTTTAATAATGACCATCAAAAAAATGCTTTGATTTTTTACATAGTTTTCCTCATTTATTTCAATTTCATTCTATTATTTTTTAACATATAAATATATCTAGTGCGATAAAAAAAATAAAACAAAAAGTAATCAAAAATCATAAACTAAAATATTTTTTTTTTATTTTATTAAATAAAAATACAAACGGTGCTAAAAAAATTTCTAAATGGTCATTGTAGAATAAAATTTCACTGATATTACAATTAACTTTAGTGGATGAAATTTAATTACTGAACTTTTCCGATTTTCATTTATGATCAATACTCTAGCTGCAGGACCAATTTTTTCCCACAAAAAGTTTTATTTTTGTTGAATGCAATGAACAACTAACGAGAGAACCACATAACTTTTTTTCCACCAAAGTCACACAGTTAAATCGAAAATTCTCGAATAGGACCTCAATAAAATTACACGGTGACAACACATACTGTTATAGGTGAAAATTTATCACAAACTAATTTATGGTATTTACATGGACATTCAGCTTAGTCATATTGACAACTTTAATATCATGTATTTAACAGTTTCATTAACTCTATAAATTTTCATTAAGTAAAAGCTTGAATAAGTATGACTGCGTATACAGCAAAATACTAAAGCTCCCATCGGCATGTATACTGTTGAGGTAAAGGTTGGTTGTATATTAGTTCAACACAAGTGAATCAGAACCATGGTCCACATAAAAATGATTTATTTCAGTGAAATATAATTTAAAGCGGATCTAGTATTTAACAAAAGTCTGCAAATACATGATTTTTTAAGTATAATGTTCTTGGGATTTTTGTGAATAATTGAAAAAAAAATTAAGTCATCTATCATTTAAGGGAAGAAATCAGATTCAAAACTGCTGTTTGTTTAAAATAATGATGTTATATTGTTACATTAAAACCATTCTTTTATTTTTAATAATGCACTGTGTCGTTGTAATTAAACAAATTTGTGGTGTGGTAAATCCAAGTTCTAATTAAGCCGCTGATTTTCTTTTTCATTGTTATTTGGTTAGTTGCAATAAATCTTATTGCTGGATTCAATCTTCAACTAAGTCGTGAGTTACTTTCTTTATTATTTGAATCAAGCCTAGCCTTGATTCTTCTTATGTTACTAGATCAAATGCGTATAAGTCACATTCTTGAGGAAGTTAAGATGGTCTTCCACGAAATTATACACAATTTCTGCTGACTTATACCTTGATCTACGTCCACAATTGATTAAAAGATGAGACATATCAACCACGTAAACGGCCACGTTCTCAAGTGATGAGATTTTCTCAAAACTCAATGATTTCCAGATAGGAACATCTGCTGGCTAAACTGGTTGATATGAAACATTCTAGACGATCAAGTTTTGCTGTTGATTTTCAATTGGCAATCAGGTGAGTTTCTGATCACATGTTTTATACATTAGTTAAATAAAAGATACGCTTTTTTTTACTTTTACTGTTGAATTTCAAAGGTTTATATATTTTAAATGATTTTATAAAACCAAATAATTATTTTTTAAGCAATCTTGAATATAAATTGCATCGAAAAAATAGTAATTATCGATATTTTTATAAAGAAAAGCCGTAAAATGGAACATTGTATATCAAAATATCGATTAGATTTAAAAATTCATTCAAAAGTTAATCATTAATTTTAAAAAATCAATAGAAAAACGATTTTTTATGTTAACCAGTAATTAATTTTTAAAGAAGCGTTGATAAAATCTGGTTCCTATACAAAAGAACACTAATAAGGGAAAGGTGGGTAAAGTAGAACGCAAGGGGAAAATAAAAGGCTCAGGAAAATGTACTAATTTATTAAAATAAGTTTAAAAACACTTATTGTACTTTTCATACATTAATTTTTCAATTTATTTATGCATTACAAATTATCAACATTTGTTAATATAATGCTTAATTTGTTAATTATAATTTTTTTGTGGTATTCCACTTTACCCCCTCTTCCCTTATATCTATATACAGTGTATTAACACCAAAATCGAATCAAAAAATAACCAAATTTTTATTGTGAAATATTAAATAAGATTTGTATAAAATAAAAATTTTCCTAAAATATTTTGGAATTTTTTTTTTTAGTATTTAAAAAAAAAAAAAAATTAACTGAAAATGTACTCATCTTCCAAAAGATGATAGAGATGGAGTCCAAGAATAGAAATTGAAAGGGAAAAATACGTTAGAAGTAAAACTTTGGTTTTCAGGTATGAGGAGAGTAGGATGTATAAAAGAATATACTGAGATAAAAACATTGTAAATTTACCATTAACATATCAAAAGAAAATCTTTGTAAAGTCTCTCAATGATGTTTGTATTTATAATTAAAGAAAAATAAATATTTAATTTATCTAAGAACAATTAGTGCAATGATCTTATCCTCACATTGTCTTAAAGAATAAATAATTAGTTTTAAAAATTAATTAACGAAAAGAAGCAAATAGTAAGAAGTAAGTATCAGGAGAATAGAAAAATAGAAGAAGTGAGAGAGTAAGCAGGTAGAAATGGAAAAAGGAAAAACTCCGAACGACCTGGAGGGCTAGGAAATAGAAGAGTAGGAGAAATTGTGAGTACTACAAAATAACTGGTAGAAAAATAGTAGGTGTATGTAACTTCAAAGCTCCTAATTGGAAGGAGGTGACTTTCGATAAGCTTGCAAACCAAAGCTCTTGATTCGAGGAGAATAACGACATGAGAATGACTTTGCAAGCTTGAATAATGTATGAGAAGATTTCGAGCTTTTTATTGAACGAAAATGAAGTCATGAGTTTCTATACTAATTGCATAAAAGCACTATATGAATGCTAGCTTCTACGGGGTATCATCAATCTTTACCGATTCTGACAGGGCACAGTGCAAATACCTAGGTAAGTAGTTAATCTGTACTTGTTTTTAAACTTAGCATATACTTTTTCATCAAATAAAAAAATTTTTAATTACTTCTGACAACCAATCAACAGCTTTTTGTCATCCAGTCTGAGAGCCTTGCAAAAAATTTTCTTTCTCAAATCAAGTGAGTAAAAAATATGAGAGAGTTGTTTATCAAAAAAAATATCTCTCTTCATAAATAAAATGCACTGTTATGGTTTGTACATACCCAATAACTTTTCTATTTTTTTAACATCCTTTCTAATATACATATATTTAACGAGGTTTTCACATCTGTGAAAAGTGGCAAACGATTAGATCTTGACTTAACATAGAGACTATTTAGTTATAGAGACTATTGAGTCTCCAGAATTAATAGTCTCGAATAAATGATTTTTATATTATTTTATAAATTATAATATAAAATATACATTATAATATAAATAATAATATATAAATTATCGTAAATTATATACTATTATTTTATATTATTTTATTTTTATTTCTATCAGGGAACAACTTTTTTCAAAGTCAAAGATAAATTGTTAAACTACAGATTTAAGCGAATTCTTACAAATTAGAAGAATATACAATCGAATAATTAATATTGAATTAATTTGAAATGACAATATAAATTCATAAATGTTTATTTATAAAGAATAGCAATTTAAAAATACACATGTTCTTTTGAATTCGTACACGGAGAGAAAAATCATATAATTTTTGTAGAGAAAATTTCAGAAAAATTACCATGCTCTCTTATAATGCGTGCGCGATCGACGACCAAAGTAAAAAGTATTTTACGATCATGTAAATATTATTAAATTGAAACGTAAATATTATCAAATTGAAACATAAAGAGTATTAGTCATGGCTTCATAAAAATTGTTGTGCTGGCATGGTAAAATTTAATGTGCTGTATTAGAAAACTTCCTTATCGATTTAGTAAAATTTCTAAGTATGCTTAACAATATTTATATATCAATGTATTAATTTCTCTACAGCTTATTATTTATTTTTGATTCAAAAAAAGGCTGTAACGTAAAAAATTAATAATGTTTTTTTGATTTAGGGAAATTAAGGAATCGCGGTTGAATTTGATAATGATAAAACACTTTTATGAATTATTAAATATATCTTTATTTAAATTAAAACCAATTTTTGAGAATAAATTTCGCATCATTAGATGCTCTTACAAGATTCGTAATCTTAAAGCTAAATAGGTAATCCAAATTTAGTACATCCCACGTATACTGATCGTTGTACAATCGATAACATTCAGTTTTTCATAAGTTAATGACACTCACGTTGTTGATAATTTCTGGACGTTCAAAATGCCCTTGTAAATCCTGTAAGATAAAACTATCTAAAAATTGAGAAAGAACACAATTGACTAGTAATTGAAAAAAATGACAACGGTTAAAAACACTGGAAAATGACTACTTTACTACAAAAACCATCATCTTTTGATCACTTATAATTAACGAAAGAAAAATTTTTCAATTTTAATAAATAAATCCACTATTTCACTAACACTGTTAACACTTTTGCACTTTACAAAAGTTGAGTTTGAACAAAAACTGATTCGATATTTTTAATTGTTGTCATTTTTTCGACAAGAAAAGGCTTAGAAGTTGTGTTATGGGAGTTAGACTATTTAGTATGAACTACTTACCATTTTACTGTAAATAAAAAATAATACCAAAATCAGTTAATTATTTAAGAAATGAATAATAGATATTATGAATGTTAAATATTAGTTGCTATTAAAGTTTGTGAAAGATTACTTACGTCGTTACAAAATGACGCACTTTTATGTGTCACTGTATAATGTATCACTCTCTATTGATAACACAGTCAATTACGCACTGAGGAACAATAAACGTATTCAAACCTGCTTCGAAAAACTTCGAAGATGCCCGATCTTTTCCGACCTTCGATTCTTTCTTATGTTAATAGCAGAATGCACGTTGTTTTAACTTAATAGTAGAATATCTCGAAAACTATGAATCCGAGATCTAGACATAATGCGTACAATTTTTAGAAAATCGCTTTACGAACAAAATGACCCCTTATAGGCTTCTCTACGATTAATAGTTAATGAGATATCATTTTTTTTGTTTAAAATAATTCTCATGCTCAACAGCGTTGATACCTTCTTTCTCTTTCTTTCTTTCTACTATTAGCAGATAGCATTTGAAAAATTATAAGACAGCATGGTAAAATATATTAGTTCGTCTAGGACTCTATGGCAGCTTAAATAGTAATTTTTGTAAGAAAAACAATTAAAAAATATTTTTCTGTCGGGAATGGAACTTTTTACTGTGCTGTTTTACAAATTTTACAAAGCTGAATTTTAAGAAAGAATATTTTATCCTTTAAATTTTCTATGATTAATTATAATTTTTATATTTTTGCCGTACAAAATTGACTATGTTCGGCTTTCACACGTCGATTGTAGTGCTGAGCACAGTAATTTTTCTATGAATTTTCTCTCCGTGTAGTTTAAAAATTCATCTTTAATCTTAAAAAAAAGCTGTACTTAAACAGTTAATTATTTATTGTTAAATTCATCCTAGTATTTATAAAATAAATTAGAAATATCTTATTTTGTATTAAACTCTTAAGCACCATTCAGAAAAATTCAAAGAGCTCTACTAGTCACAAGGATTGAGTAGAAAATGCATTATTTGAATTTATTGTACACAATTAGCTGTATTTTACTTGCAGTTCTGACATAATTATTTATTTACATCTCAACTGTGCTTACTCTATAACCAGAAGTAAATAAAGCTGAAATAATTACAAGCTCAAACACTGAAAAACTAAAGATCGGAATAACAATTAATATTTTCAGTTGAAAAAAGTTTTTGTTTAAAAAACAATTTTTTTTTAATCTTTCTTAATACTTGTTTTGTGATTTCATACTGTTGTTGTAAATAATGTTGTTATATAATTACAGATTTAACTTCTTTTCAGAGCTAATTAGATTCTATTTTTTTCAATATTGAAATAAAAATTGATGAAATAATATTTAAAAAAAAACTCAACAGACGAAAAGACACGTGGTTAAAACAAAAATTATAGAATAGGGTGAGAGGAATAAATAATGCTACTTGCGTGAAAAATAAAAATTAAGTCGTGAAAAAATAGTAAGGTAATGACAAGAAAAGAGGAAATAGATAAGATTAGAGACATTAGTTAACAGATAGTGCATCATAAACATGTCAAATTGTGAGCACCTAGGGTGTAGAGCTTCAGAGAAAAGAAAGCTTTTACGTAAGTGAATTCGAACATTTAAAAAAAAAAAAACTCATCCGAATGAACAAAAAATAGGGGTTCGGAAATGTTCGTCTTATCACGAATTAATATACACGCTAATATACACCGTGGACAATGGAAAGAAAGCTTCAGTCTTAGTCAGAGAAGTTCACCGAGCGCGGTAGACCTTATTATACAGTCCAAGTCTTTTTGGTTATAAAATGTTTGTGTCTTAACAATTCAATTATTTTTTAATGGGCTTCTGACTCAATTGTCAAATTCTTTTACTTGGAATACTAAACTCAGAATTAATTTAAATTTTATAAAAAAATTATTTATCTAAAATCCTCTATTAAATTTAATAAAAAATATCTGAATACTTGTGCCATTAAGAACTTGCTTGTCTTGTGGATTTTAATACTTAATTTTCAACCAAAATTATTTAAATAAAGATTTAATGATTTTTCGATGAAATAGTTTTAAAAAAGTGATGATTTCAATCAATTAAAAAAAAAAATTGTTTACAATATTTAACAGCCGTACAAAGTAAAGATCAGTGCAGTAAGTGAAAAACAGGGATCGTCAACAATCTAGTGTCAATCTTCAGCCAGCTACCTGCGACAATCTAACAAGGACCAGGTTGGGGTACAGCCAAGTAGTTAGGTAGAGGATCTGTACATTAGCTACGCTCGTCAATACCAGCTCTCACCAATCTCCACTAAATAGTTATAAACAGGTGTATTCTCAATAACAAGTGAGTACAACAAAGGAAGAATTACTTTCTTCAAGATAAGAAACAATACCATCCTCTTTAAACTTTTAGATGCACCAGTGTGGTTCTCTAACAACATCCAAAGATTCTATTATTTCCTCAATACTCTATTTATTATCTGCCAGGTCGTTGCACTCGAGAAAAAGTACAATTGTGCTATGATTCAATTATCTCTATTTTCTTAAAATGAAGATTATTATACTAGAATTTTCGTGGAATTAAACATGATAATTTGACTCATGAAAGACCATAAAAGTTGATTGAGTTGCATAGTTTTCCAACTTGATTCGAGAATGATAATGTCTAAAATTTAATCAATTATTTATGATAAGTCGAAAAGAATAATAATTTGTCAAAAAATTTTCCTCACTTTTTTTGTACATTTATATTGATGATTTTTATCCAATTATTTTTAGAAGCATTTCTTTTTTTAATAAGAATTTTAATTTATCTTTATTCTATGCTTAATAAATTGTTACAATTTCCTTGTGAACACAAAGACTACTTTATTCATCAACAAATTAAAAACAAAAGAAACAAACAACACAATATTCATCTTAATTCTTTACTCTTATACATTTCATTCAGTATTGTCTTACTTTTTATACATCTTTAATGTTGTTATATACTTAGCAATCGAAATTTTCTTATTGAAATTTTGAAAGAAATTGAATAATTGAAATTATTATTACTTATAAAAAGATCATTTCATTATTAAAATACTTTTTAAAAATCGTCAAACTTCAACTCCGAAGGAGATTTTTCAAAGAATTTCATGTTAAATTATGTAACTAAAACAATCTAGCTATTTATAAATAAAGGTCCTTATCAAGAATAGAAATGATTAATACATTACACCCACACTTTGATGTCTAAAATATATTGTAAAGAAGATAGAGGATGAAAGAATTTAATTTTTGATGATTCGTGTCGTTTTGGAAGTAAATCTGTTTTACTTTTTTACTTCGTTTCTTTTAATTCATAATTATTATAAATTAATAAAAATCATTAATTATAATTAGTAATTTATTGACAAACGAATGAATATTTGTACTTTAGAAATTTTCACTGATTTTTAAAGAGTCTACCATGGACCCGAGTTTTATTCTATCCTGCACTGCAAATTAAATTAAAACACCACGATTTGCAGTATGGCTCTCCCTATAAAACATTTACTTTATATTACTTAATTCAGTGTAAATGTTATAAATTTCATGATATGTATGCAATATTAAGTGAGACATAAATCAATTACATTATAAATTAATTTTTGAAAATTCAGATTGAATTAATTTTAGATTTATTTATTTAAAATTATTTAATATCTTGGATAGACTTACTACGGTTCTCAGAATTTTGATAATAAAGTACTGACACTCACAAGACATGACATTCACAACAGAAAATAACGTAGAGTCTTTTTTAAAGTAGAATCAAGTGTCTTATTCTTATGAGAAAACTACAATAATAAAAAATTTAGTTTTACATTAATAATTCTTAATTTATTTTACATTAATAAAAATAAGAAAATAGTTAATTAAAGTTATATCATGTAGGAGTGTATTTTCTACCCAATCATCCCGTTTGTCATTTTGCTCAGGATAATAAATTTAAGAAAGATGTAAACAGGAAACTGAGTCTTTGATTTCATATAATAACACGTGGACCGATAATCTATATTTGTTCATAGTAATGACTTAACGCCCATGATGGCTAACAGGGTCAGAGGAGTATAAAGAAATGGGACTAAGGCTCAGTCTCCTGCAAGCTAGTGAAGCTATCACATATTTCTTGTTACATATTATTAATAAGTTTTGGCTAGTACAGATGTACTATTAACTTTTGAATAAGTCTTATTGAATAGCTGTGTTCATGCTGAGCATTGTTATTAGATAAATTCTATGTGTAAAATTTAATAAGTTTATATATCCAATAAAATATTATATATTCTAAAATATCTTCGATAATCAGAATATATAAATACATATGTGTATTATAAATCTAAATGAATATTAAAAAACTGAAGTTTAGTTTTAATTAAAACTAAAATTATTTAACTTAGTTAAGTTTAGTTTATAACACAACTAAATAAATATTTATTTAGTGGACGTTAGTAAACACTCGAAATACTGCTAAAGTTATTAGCATGCATCACTCGTAATCATAGTTAATTTTAGGACTAAGTACCTACCCTTTGAAACCACGTACTCCAACGATACTTTAGCCTATCCTTTCACAAAAATAAAAATGACCATTTTTAGATATTAGAGAAGGGAAAGTAATTCTATTAAATTTTTTCTTTAAGATAAAGAGAATTCTTTTTAAATATTTAGAAAATATTTTTCTTATCAAATTATTAAGTAGACTAATTGATTATATTTATTTGCAAAAAAAAATTGAATTTAGACTTAAACTTTAACATAAAGAGTTTATCTGCTATCTACGTGTACACTTACCTTCTAAGTAGTAAAGCAACCTGACACTTGTACACTTCACATGTAAGTAACCGACTTAATGAGAATAATATCCCAGATAGGTTGACTCTCTTAAAAAAATTACTTCATTGCAAAAATCTCCTGTGCAAGTCTAAAGATGAGCATGGGAAATAAACTGGAGAAGAGGGAGAAGATAAGTAGTTAACTTTAGAAACATCAATTTGAAATGAAATCAGTATAATGAAAGCCACTGATCTGCTTAATTAACTTTAAATCTCCAACACTCGATCAATCATTAATCATTAAAATCATCAGATTCTGTAAGTAATAATTATTAAAAAATATAAGTAATAACGAAGCCTATTACGAAGACATCGTTAATAATAAATTTATATACTTTTTTATTCATTAATAAAATTTTGATAACGTTAATTAATAATTGTTAAGTATTGATTGTAAACAATTGCATTTTATTATATATTAATTCTTTTAAATTATAAAGTTCGTAAGTTATTTTTATTAGTATTCATTGCGAAATGCAATTAGAAGAATAATCTTTAAAATTATGGCAACCTTGTCAAGAAAAAATTTAACTAAACTATTTATTCATTATATTAAAATCATTCTTGTTTCCTAATTTTCGATATTATATTTAATGAGTAATTAAAAGCATAAAATGATGACATAAGCATACAAAAATCTAATCTTGAAAAGAAATAAGAAACTCAATGATGAGTACTGACTATCGAAGGATTTCGTTTCATACAAGCAAATTAAAATTAAAATATTGATTATTTAGTAATCAGTAAAAATTAATTATTGAATTATTATTTGAAAAGTAGGGATGTTCCTACTTGGTGGTAACGGTTAAATAAATACTTTGAAAATTTTTTTTGTCTTGTTTTCCAATTAATAGGCTACAGTCTTTACTTCAATTTTATTAATTAAAAACAATAATTTATAATAAAATTTTATAACAATTTTTTAAAACAATTAAAAAGATTTTCAACAATTTAATT